TCAGGATTTTATTTTAAAGGAAAATAAAAACGTGACGTGTTCAATGATGAGTGTGTGAGTGTATAGGATGTTCATTGCCACATTGTGTATAATAGAATGAAACTAGCTACAACCTATATAAACAACAGTTGAAGATTGGTTTAAAAGTGAAGATCCATCTATGTATGAAAATGAAGCTAAACAAAAATTGTGATTTTTCCTTAGGCGTTGTAACAAAGGGTTATAGTTTATCTTTATTTTTTCTCCATTAAAAATTTACTCAATATATGTAATTTTTAGAAAGAAAAAAATAGTTTATATATATGAGACATAAAATGTGTGTGTGTTTGTGTGTGTGTGTGTGTGTGTGTGTGTATTAGTCTATTCTCACGCTGCTATGAAGAAATACCCGAGACTGGGTAATTTATAAAGGAAAGAGGTTTTATTGACTCATATTCTGCAAGGGTGGACAGGCCTCAGGAAACTTACAGTCATGATAGAAGGGGAAGCAAACACATCCTTCTTCACATGGCAGCAGCAAGGAGACGTGCAGAGCAAAGAGGGAGGTAAAGCCCTTTGTAAAACCATCAGATCTCATGAGAACTCACTGTCATGACAACAGCATGGAAGTGACCGCCCCCATGATTCAATTACTTTCCACTGGGCCCCTCCCATAACAAGTGGGGATTATAGGAACCACAAGGTGAGATTTGGGTGGAGACATAGCCAAACCACATCTATCTATCTATCTATCTATCTATCTATCTATCTATCTATCTATATATTTTTTGAGACAGAGTTTCGCTCTTACTGTCCAGGCTGGAATGCAATGGCGCAATCTCAGCAGTGCCCGGTGGCACATGCCTGTAGTTCCACATACTTGGGATGCTGAGGTGAAAGAATCCCTTGAGCCTGGGAGGTCAAGGCTTCAGGGAGATGTGTTCGCACCACTGCACTCCTGCCTGGGTGACAGAGTGAGAACCTGTTTCAAAACAAAATAGGCCGTGGCTGGGCGTGGTGCCTCACGCCTATAATCCCAACACTTTGGGAGGCCGAGGCTAGTGGATCACCTGAGGTCAGGAGTTCAAGACCAGCCAGACCAACATGGTGAAACCCTGTCTCTATCAAAAATACAAAATTAGCTGGCCATGGTGGCAGATTCCTGTAATCCCAGCTACTTGGGAGGCTGAGGCTGGAGAATCGCTTGAACCTGGGAG